TTTTTTTGTAATTTATGAATAGTCAAGATGTGATATGCATCGATCAAACACGTATAGTGCTGAAGGGGAGCGAGGAATCTGATTTCATACATGCAAATCGAATACCGCTTGGAGAAAATCCGAATGAGGTCAGTGCATCATTTTGACTCGACTATTTCATAAATCAGGCGTAGGCAACCTTTGACGACAAACTGGCCTGATTTATATGCTTACTTAAACTCGCGGGCCACCTTTTAATAAAACCCAGATAGCAAAGCTTCTTCATGCGACCATGCGTTTTTGCGCTAGCCTTGAAGCAATGAGATCGTTAACAGTATGAATGGCTGTTGCTTTACAGTTTATCACGTAAAACTCATGTGCCTGTGTTTTGGTCTTTTCTTGCATGCGGGAGGGGAAGAGCAATTGGGACGGTAGTGTTGCGTCTCGGCTGTCCTCGTTACTGAGTTGAAAGTGGGTATTAAGGTTTACCCGCTTTTGAACAGTCACACAGACATGCTGCCGATATTTTGCGTTTTTGCATTTGCACGAGATGCAAAAAAGTTTTTATCAGGTTGTTCATTCAGCAACAAAAAGTAAACAATAACAAATTAGTGTGAGCTTTTGACACACAATTTTGAAATCTTGATTTATATCCCTGACACGAAGTCTCAAAATATCCTGTAGATTGTCTTCTGTTAGTCTCGCGCGTATTTCAGAACAATTATTTTTTTTAGAGTGCAGCAGTATGGTGGAATACAAACCCCTCGTTCGCCTAGTTGGACACCACATTCCGATTCTCTCCGCGGGCCGCTGGTTGCCCACATATGCCATAAATAAGTGGAAGTGTTCCATAAATTTTGAACTCTAAAGCGCATTGTAAATACAAGTTCCCAGAATTTTGCTCTGCCCACTGTCAACTGAACGACATCAGTTGGATTTATTTTAGATGATCATAACACAGTTGCCGTTAACGAATACCGTCAAGCATTTTTGGGAGATGGTTTGGCAAGAAAATGCTCAAGCCATTTTGTTGCTGTTAACAGTAAATGAGTGGAAGCAACACGCCGAGAAAATACGGCTGATCCCAGGAAAAGGGTTCGTAATTCGGATCATTATCTGTAAACTCAGTTTTTTGCATTTACTCGGCTGGCTGTACATTCACTGTTCAAAACGGGTCTGCTTCATGCATTCTGCTTCTTAAAATCTGTTAAAGCAGATCAAGTATGGCAACAAAAGGTTTCATGAGTGTCTGGTCAACGCCACGATATTTATACTGTAAAACTCAAATTACAGGCGTTGTCTGCACATTGAAGACTTCTTGATGTTAACACATAAGAACGAAATAAATGTAACGCCGGAATGGGTGGTGCACGAATTTTATCTGACGAAAAATAACGAAACCCGTCGTGTTTTGTGGCATCACTACAATGCCTGGGAGCCGAATAGGCCGCCAGCTGATGGTGAACACCTCTGGCCAATACATTCTTCATTACGGTACTGACGTTCCGTATCCTACTGATGCTTTTACTTTTGCCCCTATTTCTAATGCGCTTTTGCACTGCTA